GGGGGGGGGGGGGTTGGTGCCACCAAAGGACTATACATTAAATTTACAAATACAAGACTACAAGAGGGGCAGTCATGTAAACTACATATAAATTCCCATATTCTCCCAGCATATGACTAAAAAAATGCATGGCCACTGCCGTCCTTTGGAATTTTCTATTACAACTTTTTGAATCAAATTTCATATCTATTATTGTCAAAGAAAAGAAACGGGAAAGACACCCCTAAGCCTAATTTATTTGAGTACTCCCATATGGCCCAGTAAGAGGAGGTGGAACCATATGGCACCTTAAAGAAAGAAACTCATTTATGAGTTTCAGGTTTCGAGAAAAAAAATCACTTTGATTTCTATGGTGCCAAGCAATAAAGTAACAGTTGGTGGAGGAAAGCAATATAATGTGGATACCTTCTTGAAAGACACAACAGGAAAGAAGTATTTTTATTTAAATGAAGGTGCAGGACAATTCTTTAGGGAGAGGAAGAGCACCACAAATTATTTCTTCCAGTAAGATATCTGGAAAAAGATGTCCAAGATAACCTCAAGTGGCTGAAACTACAAGATGTATAAATTCTACATGACCTTGCTTGTTAAGGGGAGATTAGAGTCCATCATCATTCAAAAGAAATGTTTCTTCTTCTATTACTACTGACACCAGTTGACATGCATGTCCTGCCGGATAATTCAAACAGCTTATGAGGGACAATGTAATCAAATTAAGAACGTCTATTTAACCTAGCCTAAGATTCTAACTTATTAAAGGTTTTGAAATGACCAGATTCTTACTATGGATTTAAGATAATTTCATTCATTATCGTAGAGTGGAAAAGTACTAATAACAATAAAGGATTTTTCGTAGTCCGCTTGCTGCATCCCTGCCGATCAAAAAAACACAAAGGAATTTCATAATGCCTTCAACGTAAATGCGCTCGGTACTTGCGAGCATTCCCATTAGAAGTATCACATCACTATCAAAGATTCACTTCTTAGAAGAAAAAAAAGTAAAAAATAATGGACACCAATATAATAAATTTTGCCACAACAGGGGTATTTTAAAAGTTAGTACCACGACCAACATAAACAATCAGATCAGCCGTAAAGAGACAACAGCGAAGTCTCGATAGACTTTGAACTAGAGGATAGAATCTTGCACCAAAAAGGAAATACAACATAAGCAAATACACAAGCCACCTAAACTAAGAGCAACCATTGTTCCCACTTCTATTAAAACTCAAAATCAATCTACCAATTCAAGACGTGTGTTTGTCAACAAACACCCAGCCTAAGGTACCAAATTACCAACTTATATATGGATAGAAGCACATTCTTAGCATACCTTACATTGGAGATTGGTCACGGTAGACTTCAGTAACTGATCACCCACTATCAATCTCAACTTTTTAATGAAATCATTCCGAGTAATTTTCTTGCTCTAAGCAAAAAACAAAACGAGAGAAATTCAGGGAGCAGGAAGAAAGTTTTAAATGAAAATTGTTAGACACAACTGTCAGCAAAACATACCCTGAACAAGTCATAGTGTGCATGAACCAATTTCATATCTTCAGGAGCGACTTTAGCTGAAATAGCTCCAAATAACATAGAGAAAGGCATCCAGGGAGATTTGGGAGATTTATTTGTACTTATACCAACATCATGGGATTGCTGTAGGTTGTTTACAAACTGATATTGCTGACACTTCTGCTAACCGGATAAAATCGGAAATGTTAAACAAGGACATAAACTTATTCACAAGGTTAGGCTAAAACACAAGGAAATTCACATGCTTTCCAAATGTTGCACGTGAACAATAAAATTCTTTAAAGAACGAACAAAATCGAGCAAAAAAGAGAACTTCACCACAAAAAAAATTCCAACACTAGAATAATGGGCAGAGGCTAAGATTAGAAAATATCTTTGGATTCAGTCATTCATTAAGAGTTAAGCAGTTCAAATATAAAACACGGCAACATTGCCTTGCCACCTAATAGTTTCTATACGTAGATGTGCTCTCTAAAGCAATTGCATCAGCAATTTTATTAACATGTGTCCACGTCAATGTATGTCACAAGCCAAAAGAAAGAGATTTATCACCCAGTTCGCTTCCTATTTTTNGCCAAAAGAAAAAATTTATCACCCAGTTCGCTTCCTATTTTTTCAAGATATCTTCATACCAGATGCTCCTTTAGCTAAAACTTGAGAACACTCCTTCACTGGAAACTACAAATCGTTTATTAATCCAGACCTAGGAAACAACTTAAAGAGGGAACAGGAAACTAGATCATTCTCTTTCTTCCTATAGTAAGATAACCGTAAGCGAGGAGATCAAGTGCAACCATGCTTGATATTCAACCATTTCAGTTCTCTTAATGATCAAAATTTTAGAATCCATATATTCTCTGAGAAGCTAACTTTAGTCCATTCAAGTTGGCAAGGTTTGACTGTCTAATTCATATTCATAATATATACGCAACAATCTGCGCTGCAGGAAAACTTGTCAAACCTCATATTGCAACTTCTTGTGCGAACCCGAGGCAGAGAAATGCAATCTCAAGTTAAAGCTCAATTTCTGAAGAGGAGAGCACATAAGGAATCCACTGGACGCTATCAACTTGTACCAACAGAAGCACTTTGTGTTGCTCCACATTGGTGTAGTAAGGGAAATAGGACTCGTAGTAGCTACTTTTCCCTCCAAATAATCTCTTTTCACCTTATATTATTAGCAAAGACTAATAGCAAAGATAATTTATCAGTTCTCTTTCTCTGTTTTTCTGCTATAGGGATGGGGTGAAGTGCGGTGGGGTGGGGTGAGGGGTAAGTCAAATGAAGGATTACCATTTCTGAAGGCAATTTATTCAAGTCCAACTGCTCCTCAGATCCCTGAGAAGTAACTCCAGAGACATCAAGCCTACTTTCTTCCCTTATTGGAGCTCCTGCGGAAATAAAATGCAAACTCAGAACCACTTCTGAAAATAGATTAGCTAAACAAACTCTACCAAATTAATTTGAACCTGAAAATTACTCAATCCGAACATCAACCATCAGTCAGTAGAAATAATGTCTTTGACAAGCACAATTACTGATTGGCGCATTAAAACCAACACAAGATTGTGTTATGACTACTATTTCTTTCATTTTTTCTAGGATGAATAAATCAAAAAGTATGTTGTAAAAGAAGTGTAACCTCTTCTCTTTTTACTTTAAATACCCTTAAGCGAATAGTTATGATTGCAACTTTGTGTCTTTTTGAATTATGATAAGCTGACTACTTGCGGACCCTCACCATAATGATATCAAAGTTCTACGTATTAAAGTAGTGCATCATGACACTTAAAAGATATCAAGTTTAAAGTCCTGAAGAGCCCATAAAATATCATTGACATGTATTTCAAAGCAATAAAAACTTTTTAACACCAGAATATCACGTTGTAATCATCTAATGATACAAAACAAATTAATCTTTTTTTTAAGCAATCTCCCATTAAATGTTGCATTCAGCAATTTAACATCAGAACGATGACATTCAACGCCTAAATGGTTTAGAATCTAGATCCTTCACCGGGAGACACTAGAAACTGAACAATCATATAACAAAGTTAAGAAACGTATGTCATTATCATAGTGGCTGTCTTCCTACAACCTTAAAGGTGAGAAACAACACCTGATAATCGTTAAGAAAGTTAAAAGAGTTATTTACAAATAATAAATGACGGAGTTCCACCTGATGATAATCTTTACAAGGATCCAACACCCAACTTGTGTTGAATCTTTTCTCAATGAGCAAATATCTCAAAATTCCATCTTTATCTTCTATTTTATGATAGAAAAATTAGAGACCCATAACACAATGGCCAAAGCAGTGCTATAATCCAATTTTATTATGTTATGTACTCAAGCATAGTAATTGCTATAAAGCAAGTCTTTTGAAAGAGAAATAGGTCCCAAACTAGAATTAATAGATACTTCCGAGAGATTTCACAGCTAAAACATCAACCAAAATTCTTTATTACATTGGAGGTTGAAGTACCACACAACTCAAAATAACAAAGGAAATGGGTTTCTCTTTAAGGAAAGGTGTATAATCAATACATTTTTAAATTCTATACCAATCATATTATTGTGACGTTAAAATATATGGAAAAGGAGATAAATAGACACCTTGTGCTCCTGAAGACATCTTGAAGCTCACAACATACTCCGGATATATGTGTGTATTCATATTCATATTCCAAACAGTATAATACGTAGGATTCTCCAAATCATCAACACCACTATCATATTTCCCATCGCTCGGATGAGATTGCTTAGAACCGAAATGCAAAAGTTCTTCATTGCCCAAAATGACACGACAAAGAACCATGTAACGAACGCCATTTTCGTCAACATCACAACTAGCGGCACTGATAGAGACAAAGAAAAAAAAAAGCAATTGATGCTTAAGTTATATTGTCCTGAAAGATAAAAATTGCTGAAGTTAGATTGTCCTGAAAGATATCAGTGAATAAAGGACCATTTTTCTTTCTTNTGGGGGGGGGGGTGTTCTGTTATTAGATATCCAGCGATGATACTATACACCAAATAAGTTTTTGAAAACAGCATTGTTATCTTTAAGTTGCAAGGCTCTTCTTTTCCGTTTTTATTTCCTCAAAGTACAGCAGTCATACAAGCACAGTAAAACAATTTGGAACTATATAATCACAAAGTTTAATGACCTCCATTAAGCTACAGCATGATTTTAAAACCACTCTAAGATCATGATATTGTAACTCCAAACAATAATGAAATCATCAATAAAAATGACATTGTACTACAAAGTATTATCCAACCTTTTAGAGGCACGATCCTGTGCAATGAGGTGCACTCCTACTCCAAGATTAGTCTTCAGTCTAGATGCCCCATGCATAAGGCCATAGTTCATAATTGTACATACTACCTCTTTGGAAGCAGCAAGCCAAGCATACCGAACATTGGAATTTCCACGATAATTTTGGGTTATCTCGACCAGCTTCTCAAACAATTCCAAGCGATTTCTCAAATATTTACTTGAACATTGACTAACTTTGACTATATCCACTTTATGGATGCCATTTATTCCCTTAACAAACATATTTTTAACAGATTCTGCATCCACCAAATTTAGTGCATCTTCTAATTTAGGAGACAGAATTTCCTGATTCTGTTGATTGTCTACAACTATTTCCATTTTTGCATCAGAAATTTTATCATCAGCAAATTCTTGATTATCTTTAAGAGGATCGACTTTAGTCCTTTTATAACTGACATTTGACTCCTCCACACATTCTTCCAAATTGCAATTATTTGGTCCATGAAAGTCTATTTCAAGATGCAACTTAATTTTAGTTGCCCTATCCGGCTCAGGAGTACTGAAATATTCAGTTCTTTGTGACTGGATGTCAAAGTTGTCATGCATTTTACAACAGACGAGACATAACTCAGGGAAGAAACAGCCACCTGCTTCGTCTATCCAGGCGATAGGTTTCTCTAAACCAGTTATCAGATCTACCTGAATCATATACAGAATATCAAGGATTACATGAAAGCCACCACAGTTCACCTCAATCACAGCCTTCTTTGCACGGAAGTCTTCTTTAACTAAACAAACAATATCTAGAGGGAAATCATTCCATTCACCATTTTGATGAAACAAAACACGTTGTGGTAGTCCACTTTTCATGAAATTTGAGTAGTTCTTAAGTATCGATGTCTTAAGATGTGATCCGCAATTAGACTCACAGTCTACAGTCCTTTTTCTCTTCCCAAGCTTGTTATAGAAAGAGTTACAGTTTGGTTGAAATAATAGCTCCTCAAGCTTCTCACTGCGGGCTTCAACTATACTTGCCACACACTGAGATGCCACTTCGCTTTTTGAGTCGTCTGCAGCAGTCCTACAGCCATTATCTAACACTTTAACCCAGCTTGACTCCATTTATCTACAGGCAACTACTATTTACAAATTTTTTACAGAAAGACTATATCCTAGACTAGTATCGCGCAAGTCTGTCATAACAAATTTTGGAGAAGCCACCTTAAGGAGAACGAAATGCAAAACCTGGCAGGAAAAACAAAAGCAATTAGGGAGTCATTCCATTAAAAATAGAAAAGAGACATCTCTTCATATGAACTGCACGACACTCACCATAATGGAACATAATGTAGTTCATAAACTACGTAGATCAAGTAATCTGACACCAACTGAATAACAGAAAATCCGAACTCTAGCAATAGATTCACTCCTTTTTGCAGAAATAGAAGTAATTTCCACTGTAATGCTAATGCACATAACTCAAGTACCTTATTTATTTACTTCCCGCAAGTGAAATACCAGTAAATTATTAATTCTAATAATGCATTTGGAATATAGCTAACTTTGAGAAACCTACCATATTCTGCAATAAGTGGCCATCTCGGCAGAGGCTTGTTGTCTCCATAATGCTGGTATGTCAAGTCAACGAATTTTCCTTTGCACAAAGGTAAACTTAGAAGCTACTCTAATTCACCTCCGCTGAAAACATAACTTCGTCAATATTAAAGATTAAAAAAATACAAAAATAAATGCTGAACTAAAATTTCCAGATATTATAAAGCAATAAATAAAGTAAACAGAAATAACAAAAAGGTGTATCAATATCTTTCAAACAAAAATCCAAGATAAGCATTAGCATTACTCTCAAATGTCTCATTACCACTTAAAAACTTCAGCTAATATTAGGCAGTAAACGAACAACTGGAAAATAACTACATTACCTTTTCATGGTTTTTCCTTTTTGGTTTCACCAGGCCTTATCTTGAATTGGCCTAAAATTAAGCATACACATAGACACGAGAAATGGACCGCAACACTACACGTATAATATAAGTAACATGCTATTAAGACAACCATAACAACAACAAGGGTGTATCCCATCGGTTGGTGACACCACGATTAAGACTGTGAATGACCAAGGTTCTAATCCAAAGCCTCGACCGGACAGTTAACAGCTATTGTACTAGGTACCTATGGGATGGCCGAGCTGCGCCAACGCCGCCCCTTATTTTACATACATGTGTGTATTTACATATATATGTTTTTGCCAACCTAGTCCATGTTTTTAGTAGGTTAGCAAAGCTCTCATTTTTAAGTTCTCTAAGTAACAGTGCCAGCACATTAAAATATGGACATTTTTGCCTTTCACCCGTCCTAAATTTAGTCGAACGCTCTCTAGAAAAAGTTGTCAGCTCTTTTCATGTCACATAAAGAAGTTCCCTCATGTAACCACTTGGCTTAAATGTATAAATATAACGCTCTAGTAATAAAATGGCAAAGGTAAGTTAAAGGGCAAATTTGAGAACTTAAAAAAATGGGAACATGCCAACCTATTAAATCCATATTATACAACGGCAAATTATATCATATATGTACCAATTAAAAGTCCAGCAAAAATTCAATGAAATCATCATAAAATGCTGCACAAAATACAGCAAAAATTCAAGTCAATTCATCATAAATAATGTAGCAAGCAAAAAGTTCAAAAAATCTCATAAATTAGCAAACAAATATCGTAAAAATATTTACCACAAATTAATTTAAGAAAAGAAAAAAAAACAAGATCCAAACCGATCTACCCGGAACAAAGCAAATCGAAACATATCAGATACAGATCTAAGCAGTGAAAGAAAAAAGAAAAAAAAGAAAAAAAGAAAAATAGTCTAACCAAGTTTAACAGATTCTACCTCTCATTGATTAAACGTAGTCGTCTTTGTCGTCGTCCCGGAAGAAGTTAACGCTCCACAGATTACGGCGAAGGAAACAAAGCAGAACACAGCAGGAATTTCAACTCTTTGAATACCTAGATTTGTAGTTTGCTTGGGCGAAAAGAAAGAGAAAATAAATAAAAATATTTTGACCAAAAATGGAACGAAAGAGCGAAAGGTCGGCGACCTTACCTTGTAGCTTCGAAGATTGAAGGTACATAGGTAAGTTGTGTTTTTCGGGTAACAACAGGTAAACGATATCGTTTAGTTCCTGAAAATATGCGGACGATGTCGTTATTATGCTTCGTCGCTTTGCGCACTGACCTTTTGTCAGAGTTTGTCGTTTATGTAGAGTGAAAGGATTTTCTTTTTTCTTAAGCATCTTGTGTCCAAAATTTACATTAGTGAGTTATAGCCTCTTTGTCCAAGCTTCTCGAGAGGCCAAAAGTGCTTCTTTTTTTTTTAAAAGTATTTTTTTTCTTAATTTGAGATGTTTGATTAAGCTTTTTGGGGGAGGGAAGTGCTTTTTCGGAAGAAGCAGAAGCAGTTTCTGAGAAGTTCTCAGAACAAAGTAGCTTCTTCCCAAATGCAGAAGCAGTTTTGATTTTTCTTCTTACCTAAATACTCTTAACAAAATATAGTATATACCAAAATAACCATTAAACCTAATACTTAGGATATTAATGTATAAGTATTTCTTCTTATTTTTAAGATAGTTTTCTAATATATAGTGATTTTATGGGTGAATGCTTTTATAATCGTGTTTTTATACTCTTCCTTACCCAAGCAACAATCACAAAGCAATTCGGGCAAGGGAATCAAAAAAATTACATTAGAATCCCGGCAAAGGAACAATAGTATAACAATAATATCCCGGGAAGGGAGCCAATATCATGAGCAATAACATCCCGGTAAGGGAGACAATATCATAAACCTCTTCTCTTTTCCTCAATTACTTCACAATTCAATTCTCAACTTGAGCCAATGCTTTACAACGTTCAATTACCAAGAATACTTCTATAAGCTTTATTCAACATTAGAAATTATCATATTAAGCATGGACAATACAAAATGGAGTCACATCAATCATAGTATAAGACTCACGGGCATGCTTGACACCGACGTATAGATACTCGTCACCACACCTATACGTCGTACCCAACAATTAACACATAGAAAATAAGACCAAGACTCTTATTCCCTGAAGCTAAGGTTAGACCAAACACTTACCTCAATGCCACGAACACAATCAAGTCTCAACTACCGCTTTACCCCTCGATTCTGCTTCTAATTCGCTTGTATCTAGTTACAATTTACTTAATAACATTAATAAATGCTAAATAAACCCAATTAATTGGTCGTAGATGTCGCAATTACGACAGGAGTTTCGCAATTGTGAAGCTCACAAATGCGAACCAGGCCTCGCATTTGCGAACCTGTGCATTGTCTGTTAACCTCGCAATTGCGAACAAATCGTCGCAATTGTGATAACTACCCTCCCCTGATGACTTCGCATTTGCGAAGGAAGGTTCGCAATTATGAACATGGCAGGCCTGGGCTTTCTTCGCAAATACGATCAAGCCCTCGCAATTGCCAAACCTATTAGGCTCGCAATTGTGAAGTCTGACCTCATAATTGCAACATCAGAGCCTGCAATACAACTGAACCTGCAATAGCCATTTTTCTAAGTCCAAATTCACTCTGTAGCCTATCCAAAACTCACCTGAGCCCTCGGGGCTCCAACCCAAATATGCACGCAAGTCAAAAAATATCATACAGACTTGCTGGTGCGATCAAATCATCAAAATAACATCAACAACTATGAATTAAACCTCAAATTCATGAAATCACTCAAGAACATCAAAATTTCCATTTTATCAAATAAAGGAGTTCGATTTATACTAAACGAACTCCGATTCATACTAAACGAACTTCGATTCTTACCAAGTTTCACAGATTCAACTTAACTATTATATAAGACCGGTACCAGGACCCGGAACCAAAATACGGTCTCGATACCATCGATTTCAAATATCTTTATATTTCCAAAAACTCTTATAATTTTAGTTAAACAATTTCTTTCAAGAATTCTTTTCTCGGGCTTGGGACCTCGGAATTCGAATCCGGACATATGCCCAAGTCCCAAATTTTACTACGGACCCTACGAGACTGTCAGATCACGGGTACAGGTCCATTTATCAAGAATGTTGACCAAAGTTAACTTTAATCAATTTTAAAGGCCAATTTCTTTATTTTTCTTAGATTTCACATAAAAGCTTTCCATAAATGCGCTCGGACTGCGCATGCAAATTGAGGTAAGACAAAAGGAGGTTTTTTAAGGCCTCGGAACACAAAATTTACTTCCAAAATGGGTCATCACATTCTCCACCTCTAAAACAACCGTTCGTCCTCGAACGGACATAAGAAAGGTACTTGAGTCGGAGAAAAGATGGGGATATCGGCTCCGCACATCGGACTCGGACTCCCAGGTAGCTGCCTCAGTAGGCTGACCTCTCCATTGAACACGAACAGAAGGGAATCTCTTCGATCTCAACTGACAAACCTACCGGTCTAGAATAGCTACCGGCTCCTCCTCATATGACAAGTCCTTGTCCAACGGGACAGTGCTAAAGTCTAACACGTGGGATGGATTGCAGTGATACTTCTGAAGCATGGACACATGAAACACTGGATGCACGGCTGATAAACTCGACGGCAATGCAAGTCTGTAAGCCACCTCTCCCACTCGATCAAGAATCTCAAAAGGACCAATGAATCTAGGGCTTAGCTTGCCCTTTTTTCCAAATCTCATCACGCCCTTCATAGGCAACACCCGCTCGCCGATCATGAATGCCACATCACGAACCTTACGGTCGGCATAACTCTTCTGCCTGACAGAGCGATACGAAGCCTATCCTGAATAGTCTTAACCTTCTCCAAGGCATCCTGCACTAGATCCATACCCAACAACCGAGCCTCTCCCAGCTCAAACCACCCAACCGGCGATCGATACCGCCTACCATATAAAGCCTCATAAGGATCCATCTGGATGCTCGATTGGTAGCTGTTGTTGTAAGCAAGTTCCGCTAAAGGCTAAAACTTATCCCACGAGCCTCCAAAGTCAATAACACAAGCTCGGAGCATATCCTCCAAAATATGAATAGTATGATCGGACTGCCCGTCCGTTTGAGGATGAAATGATGTGCTTAACTCGACCCGTGTGCCAACTCACGCTGAACCGCCCTCAAGAAATGTGAGGTAAATTGCGTACCTCGGTCAGAAATAATAGACACGGGCACACAATGAAGACGAACAATCTCCAGGATATAAATCTTTACCAACCTCTCAAAAGAGTAGGAAACTGCCACAAGAATTAAATGTGCTGACTTGGTGATAACTGTGATTTTTACATGTTTTATACCCATTCTTACCTAAGCTTTGTGCATAAACTGCTATAAATTTGTCCCAAAATGCTTACAAGTTGCGCTTGATTGCAGGTTTGAACGACAAGATGACAAATACCAAAGATCGGCTCAAAAAGGAGTGAAATCTGCCAAGTGTCAAAAGACAACTGAAAGGGGGAACAAAATGAACTATGCGATCCGCACTGTTTTGTCACGCGGCCACACAGGAGAGTTCAGAGGCTGGGCATTTTCAAGGTCAACCTGCGCGGTTCGCACTGTTTTGCCACGCGGCCGCGCAGGAAAGTTCAGAGGCCATGCCATTTTTAAAGTCAAGATGCGCGGTCCGCGCCCCTTTTCACGCGGTTCGCGCCCCTTTTTACGCGGTCCGCGCCTAAGAGTGTCAGAGACCCAATCATTCAAGGCAAAAACCCACGCGGCCGCACACCTAATCAGTGCGGTCCGCGTGGATGAAGTTCACGCGGCCGCGCATCACATTTGTGCGGTCCGCGTCCCCAGTACCAGAAGCAAGATATGAAGACCCAAAACCATACGCGGCCGTGCGTCATTTGTGCGCGGTCCGCGCCAGACCCTCAGGGGTATTTTTCTCCGATTTTTCCTGTGTAGTATAAATAGAACATTTCACTTTTTAGGATGAGTTTTTGGGAGTTTTGGTTTCGTATCAAATAGCAACTGAACTCGAGATTTCATGGTTTTAGCCTATTTTGGGCAATTTCTTCTAGTATTAACATGGAATTGAGTAGATTAACATTGTATTTAATTATTATGTCAATTTCATCTACTATTTCTTCAATTTCTATTTCTATTATGGCTAGCTAAACCCATTAGCTAGGGTTGTGGCTCAACTCTAGTGTGGGTAATTAATGGATGTGATTGTTTAATGCATGAATGATGTTGGATATTTGTTATTTGGATTAATCTTATGTTTTCATTAAGATTTGATGGTTGCAAACACTAAGTCTAGCTTAGTGAGTCTTGACTCTTCCTGAGAAAGAGAGTTTATGACCCCAAGATTAATTCCAACAAGGAATTGGGATGGACCCATGAGAACGGTAGTCCCAATTAACGGGTTAAACCTCGAGAGAGTAATTACCCAACTTAAACCATAAGTTGCTTGGGCAACTTGGCCTACCCAATTGGTTTTGAGAGAGTCAATTGGGCAAAATCACTCTCTCTACCGAGAGGTGTGAGAGTGGGTGCAAAAGTGCAACGGTTATAGCATAAGTCCCATATTCATCATTCTTGCATTAGGAATCTCTACTCGTTAGTTGACCACCTAGATGCATGCCACGCCCCTAGTGCCTTTCTCTATATTACATACAAATTAGAATCAATATCTTAGCCTAACTTAGCTTTAAATTTGTAGTTGATATATTGTAATTGATAATCAAAAGAAAACCAAAAATGTAGAAGATCAATTAAGAGCTAAAACATAGTCCTAGACCATACAAAGACTCAACTCCAAATTGAAGCTCCCTGTGGAAAATTGACCCTGATACCGCTATTGCGTAAAAGTATTAGCGCCCACTCTTCCTTAGGTTGAGTTTGATGCAATCACTTTTTGGCGCCGTTGCCGGGGAGCTTTACGGTGTTGACTATTTGTGTAGCTAGTATTG